GGAGGAAGGAAGGAAGGAAGGAAAGGAGGGAGGGAGGGAGGGAGGAAAGAAAAAGAGGGAAGGAAGGAAGGAAAGGAGGGAGGGAGGGAGGGAGGGAGGAAAGAAGGAAGGAAGGAAGGAAGGAAGGAAGGAAGGAAGGAAGGAAGGAAGGAAGGAAGGAAGGAAGGAAGGAAGGAAAAAGAGGGTGGGAAGGAAGGAAAGGAGGGAGGGAAGAAGGAAGAGGAGGAGAATGGAGGGAGGGAGGGAGGAAGGAAGGAAGGAAAGGAGGGAGGGAGGGAGGAAGGAAAGAAAAAAAGGGAAGGAAGGAAGGAAAGGAGGGAGGGAAGGAAGGAAAGGAAGGAGGGAAGAAGGCCAGACAGAATTGCAATTGTATCATTATGGATATCTTGACTTTTTTAAAACTCTATTCTATGAGAAGATTCTTGTTTTCTGGTCCATTTGCCTAAAATTTCCTCTTTGATTTTGAAAAAAAAACCCATTAAAGTTAATACAAATACCCAAAAAAATGAGTTTCGTAAGAGTGAAAAAAAGTTGAGAAAAGTCAATATGAATGGCAATTCTCTTGTAGGTCACGAAGGCCGAATAGGCATGGCATCCATACGCCTAGCAGATGGTTGTGAATTTAATGGGGAGATTCTCTACAAACATGTGACAGATTACTTGCCTCTTTACTCCAGACCTTATTTTGTGAGGATACAGGTAGGTCTTCTTCCATCTCTACCCATCTCTCAATTGGATAGGAAGTGCATTAGAGAACGAAAGCCATAATTTTCACGGATGGTGTTGCATCACATTGTTTGAAAGATCTCAGAACTTGCACATCCCCCATTGTGCTGTAATAAAGGTGGTCCTCAACTTACAACCAATTTGTTTGGTGACCATTTGATGTTTACAATAGCTAATCACTGGTGGCCAATGATTCCTCCAGGTGTCCTGGGATCAATCCTCTGAATTCCCAGCATCCATGCTAGACCAGTCTTTCTCCACCTCAACAACTTGAAGTGGTATGGACTTCAACTTCCAGAATTCTCCAGCCAGGATGCTGGCTGGAGGATTCTGGGCATTGAAATCCACCCATGTTGAAGTTGATGAGGATGCGCTAGATACTGTGCTAGATAGTTCAACTTCCAGCATGTCTGAAGGGTGCCATGTTCAAGGAGGCTTCCCAAGAGTCCTTTTCAGATGTCAAGAATAGCCTTTTGTTGAGCTTTGGCCTTGGGATTGTACTCTAATCAGCTTCATTTAACGATCCCATAATCCCTTATGGGAGTGTTTTAGTGGCCAGATGCCTTTCCTGTCACCAATACGGAGTTTTGTTCAGCAGATATATTCTTATTGTCCCAGAGAGAGAAATATCTGCCTGTGCCTAGGATCGAACTCACAGCCTCCTGATTGTGAGGCGAGAGCTCCACCTCTCGGCCACCGCAACACTCCTGGGATTATAGTCTAATGATGGGTTATTATTTAATTACTTGCATAACGGAGAAACAAAAATCCTTATGTTTAGAAAGGAAGAATAATTATTTTTAAAGACTTTTACGCAACTTAGCATTGCTTTGCTGTTTCTTCTTGTTTTAATAGGATGCTCTTGAGGTCACGGGAACATTTAAATACCGGAAGGTGCAGTTAGCACAAGAAGGCTTCAATCCGGCAGTTGTCAAGGATGCCTTATATTTTGGGGATGATAAAGAGAAGACATATGTACCCTTGACAGAAGACATCTACAACTCGATATGTAGCAGCAGATGGAAACTATAGTGCTTCTGAATGTGTTACTATCTTTTTTTTAAGTATGTTGTTAGATAATTTTAGCAAGTTATGAAAAAATTGATTTTCAGTCCAATTGCACATTTATGCCTAGATTTTGGAATGTCCATACCTTACTCATTTTGTCAATATTTTAGAGGAAGGGCTGATGACCTTGGAACAAAGCTGTTCTATCACCTCCGGACTGATCTGCTAATATAATTATATTCTACAAGTTTTGGAATCTTTAAAAGTTAATCATTTCTATAACCATACATCAGAGGCCTCCAATCTTGGCCACTTTAAGCCTGGTGGACTTCAACTCCCAGCAAAGCTGGCTGGGGAATTCTGGGAGTTGAAGTCCTCCAGGCTTAAAGTGGCCAAAACTGGAGATCCCTGCCATAGACTGTTGAGGATGTCGGGATGGTTCCCATTTGGCCCTCTCGGATCCTGTGCAAAATGAGGACATTCCCATCCCCCAAGGTAATAACTAACTGGACCAACCATGTAACGTGACTGTTGTAGCAGATACTCTGAGCAACCACCAAACATTCCTTCATCTTATCATCTCGGAATCAGGGACCCTTTTTAAATATTAAGTCTTCTACTTCTGAAACGTATCATGTTTGCCAACTTCTTAACTCACCACATCCATGCATCCTCTGCCATGACAGAGTGTCTGTTTATTTGCTGTGAAAGCTGAAGATCTAGTCTAGGGAAGAGAAGGGCCAGAGGAGACATGATAGCAGTCTTCCAATATCTGAGGGGCTGCCACAGAGAGGAGAAAGGGGTCAAGCTATTTTCCAAGACACCTGAAGGCCAGACAAGGAGTAATGGATGGAAACTGAACAAGGAGACATTCAACCTGGCAATAAAGAGAAATGACCGGACAGTGACAACAATCAACCCATGCAACAGAAGTTGCCTTCAGAAGTTGTGGGAGCTTCATCCCTGGAGGCTTTCAAGAAGAGACTGGACAGAAATGGTGTAGGGTCTCCTGCTTGAACAAGGCTTTGGACTACTAGGTGACCTACAAGGTTCCTTCCAACTCTATTAATCTGAACTGAAATCGGAATCTCTGTGTAGGTCAGAAAGAGGTGAACTTTGTATATTAAGGGTCACTCTTTGTGTATCTCTAACCTCAACTTGCTCTCAGATGTTCCTATAAAAATGTTCTGCTGATTTTCATACCAGTGTGATCATAAGTAGTTTAATCAACACAATGCCCAATCTTCCATCACATAAATCTTTGCAATGTCTATTATGCTTGAACATCTCTTGTTCTTTCCATCCCGTTTTTTTTTTTTTTTTTTAGAAAAAGCTTGGGATGTCTGCAGTATGATTTTTTTAAAAAATTAGGATAGTGATGGTGGTGCAAAGTGCCTATGTTTTGTGTTTTTCATTTGCACTATTGTAGTTGCCATCTTCATTTTTTAAACCACACTCTTTGGATGCCCCTGTTGAAGGTTATAGTTATTCCAAATAGATTACATGCTTCACTCAAAGGAAGACAATGGGTAGTATCTCTTGAATGTTTGCATTTGCTGTGGTTTGTGGCTTAGCTTGAATTTGACTCGGAGTGGGTTATTCAATAAAACCATGTCTCAACATAGTGTGGACCAAATCAATAATCAATCCGTGGAATCGATATGCCTGAAATGAAAACTGAAACTCTACGTGCCAAGACTAATTTGTTTATTTACTTTATGAACTTACTCGGTATACAGGCTCTTTTTTAAAAAAAAATAAGATCAGCAATTATGATATTACTGGGCCATAGATTATAATATTGCATACAAATAATCAGACTTAGGTTGTCATACTTTGGAAGAAGGCTCTTAAGAGCTAGATAATTGTCTGAAGAGGACAACAGGGCAGTTGGAGACCACACTGAATGGTGCATTCAGGAAAACTGGGCATGTGGTAAAACTGGGGTTGTTTCTTCAGATCTTCTTTCTTGATCATCAGGATTTCTTTGGGCAGCTTGGAGAGGAATTTCCTGCTTGCGCAAGGTATGTTCTCCAAAGGACTGTCCAAGCTGAAGGAACGGACAGTTTTTTTCTTGTTTTGAGTGGAAAAACTCAAGGCAGAAGGCAAGTCACAGTTGGTCAGATGTCGGCTGTTTTCTGTGAAGCCCTCATCTAAATGAGGCTCTTTGGCCTTTGGGATGTATGCGTTCAATAGTGACAACGAAGAGTTGAGAGATCCTCTACGAGGCTGCATGGTTATTCTGCTGAAAGGGACCACTTTACCCTTTTCTTTCTCTGTGAAAATAGGCGGAGCGATGCCCGCTGCTTTTGAACTGGAGTTGGTTAATTGATTGGGGATTTGGGCCTTCTCCTCTGGGATGAGGAGAGATGGATTGGAGATGTTCACTGCCGTCTGTTGGATGAGGGCCCAGTCTTGCTGAATATCCTCTCGGGTGGTGAACTGAGAAGTTACCGTGAAACGAATGATCAACTTCTCCTGGATGGTTGCCGGGATGACAAACAGCTTTCCTGATTTGTTCAGGTCTTTTAAGAGCTTCTCGGTCATCCAGTTGGGACCCTGTTGGGAAAACATTAGAGTTTCTCATAATAGCCACTGGGAAAGAATCAAAGATACATACCTGTCAGGGTTCTGGCAGTTACCTCCAATTAAATCATGAGTCTCGAGCCAAACTTCCAAAACTTCAAAAGGATTTATTGGGAGTTAAAAGGTCCAGCACTGCCTGGGTGTAGCCAACTCTGAGACACATCATTCATTGTCACCCTTGACCCTGGTTTTCCCCCACCCCTCTGGGTGTATCATAATTCATACTCTCCAATGGGACACGTCCATAGCCAAGAGTTATCAATCATACTCTCCAGTTAGAATTTTGTGCAGCAGAAACTTCAGTCACCTAGTTACTATTTTTGAAAACTATTTATGGAATGCCCTTTTGATTTCCAAGCTGCCGCACTGCTCCCCCCTCCCTTTCTGTTGGCAACTCTAAAAAGACCATAGAAATATTTCATGAGTTGACACATACCCATGTACCGTTGAAAGGCATTAATAATGCTGTTTTGTCTTTTTTGTTATTTCACCGCCATTCCATATATACTCTTATAGACTAGTCTCCCCAGCTGCAACCAATGAGGAGGATCATGGCCGCTTCCTCTCTTGTAAGTCAAGTTGTTGCCTCCTCTCTTCCTCCCTGCGTGCCCTAAGATGGAGAGGGGATGGGCCTGGGTCCTCCTCTGACTGCCCAGCCGGCCTCTGCCCTTCCCCAGCCTCCTCCACAACCTCTGGAGCCACACCTCCACTCCCAGTCGGCTGTTCCTCCTCTCCCTCGGAGTCCGACTCTAACAAGGGCATGACACAGTTATTAACTTGTTTGAATCCCACCACTGGGTATATGGTCTCCTGCTTGAGCAGGGGGTTGGACTAGAAGACCTCCAAGGACCCTTCCAACTCTGTTACTCTGTTATTCTGCTATAACTGTCAACTTGACGCTGTTCTAAGGAGCTGGAATTCAGTGCCCATCATTCCCCGCCAGCATGTTGGAGGAGAATGATGGGGTTTGAAGTCCAATGCACAGAGAGGGAAGCTGTTGTGGTTAGCCAGCAGCAGGTGTGGATGGCTGAGAAGACTGAGGACTCAGATGAGGGGCCAGGACCACTAGGGCGTGGACTGCTGCCTTCAGAGATTGTGGGGGCTGGCAGCAGCAATGAGGAGGTTCCCGAGGAGCCTGTGCTAAGTGCTCGTGCGCACAGGATTACTCATAGGAAAGAGTAGCTACAACAGCATAGGAGACTTAGGAGTAAGGCTGCAAGGTAATGGCCCCTCCTTCAAGAAGATAAAAGCCAGCTGTGAAGTGAACGTTCTTTGCAGAAGGCAAAGACGTTTTGAAACTCCAGCCTCGTGGACATTCCAGAATCCTGAGTTTGTATTTGAAGATTCTTGTATTGCAAATTATTTCTTGTCTGTTATCTTTTGGCAAGACACGCACAGTTTGGCAAGGCTTGTGCTTATCACAGCTAATTATTTTGCAGAAGCATTAAAAGGTTTCTGTTCTCTTTGGATTGTATTTGATTTGTTGGAAAAGGGCGTGGGTCCGAACAGTAGCCCACTACAAGAGAATGGCATATGTTATAGTAAAATACAATAGGGAAATGTTACCTTTAGGCGAAAAACAACTAGTCCGAGATGCCTCTTAGCCGGGATTTCAAACAAGGGGTTGCTTCTGAGCAGTGACTCAAAATACTTGGCCATTTCAGTGCCCTGGGATTACCGAAAACAAAGCCAGCAATTAATTCCAATAGCAGAGCTATGCTGACAAATCTTTGAACCGTCTACACAGGGTTGCCTGTAATTTGTAGGAGAGCAGATTGCTGCATTCAGGTAGTTCCTCAACTTACGCCCCCAAATATATGTTGCTAAGTGAGACCTTGGTTCAGGGAGTTTGGCCGCCGTTTTATGACTTTCCTTGCCACCGTTGCTCAGCGAAACACTGCTGTTGTTAAATTAGCAACACGGTTGTTGAACAAATCTGGCTTCCTCATGGACTGTGCTTGCCAGAAGGTCACAGAATGACACACACACACCCAGGAACCGCACTGCAACCGTCATAAAGCTGAACCAGTGGTCAAGCCTCCGAATGTCAATCACGGGACTACAGGGATGCTGCAATGGTTGTGAGTATGAAAAGAGCTCATAAGTCACTTTTCCAGTGCTGTTGTAACTTTGACCGGTCACTAAATGAACCATCGTAAGTCGAGGACTACCTGTATTTTGTAGGACCCGAGAAAGTTTCCCCTTAGAGCTTATCTCATAGCTGGAGTCTCTCCCACCTAAAGATGACGTCCAGTGATTTATTTTTTTTAGCCAATTCCAACCTCAAAAATCAGCAGGATTTTTTTTAATAAATAATTTTTTTATTTTTAATATAATCATTCCATCTTCAGTTGAACAGTGTGCTGTCTGGGTACAAATATCTTTGTCAAACAATAATCAAAACTACAACTTCCTTCATTAAATTACTATTGATTCTGCAATCTTTAATAATATTCCACATATTAATTCTACAATATTAGCATAATAATATCCAACATACTAGTCATATCATTAAGTGTTGTACCTTATGATTCTTGACAAAGAGTATTTGCACCAAGACAAATTCCTTGTGTGTCCAACCACACTTGGCCAATAAAGAATTCTATTCTATTCTATTCTATTCTATTCTATTCTATTCTATTCTATTCTATTCTATTCTATTCTATAATATTTAACATATCTTCTTTATTTTGTTTCCCTATTTCTAACTTCCACCTTTATTATTTAACCATTGGTAAAATAGATCCCATACCATAAAGTAGTCAGTTTGCTCTCTCTCCTTAATTGCCAGCGTTAATCTATTCGTTTCCGCACACTCTAATATTTTCCTAATCACATTCTCATCTGTAGGGGTCTCTTCACTCTTCCAATTTTGTGCAGATACAATTCTAGCTGCAGTTAATTAATGCATGGATAATTAAATATGCCTTCCCTTTACTGTAAGTTTCAGGTAAAATCCCCAATATTTCTGGTTTTAAATCAATAGGCTGCTTTATCGTCTTTTCCAGCCACATATGTATTTTTGTCCAATATTGTTTTGCTTCCGCATCAGGAAGGTATTCTTATTTACATTTATTTTTCTAATTCACTTACGTGTCTGACATGGTCCTGAAGCTTTTTCACACCAAATGAGCGAATCACAAACCAGAGTTTTAGAGAGCGAAACCTTCGGCTCAGCGGGATTTGCCAATGCTGCAAAGGAAACCATACTTTTTAAATAAGAATAAATTATTATTAATGTATAGGGTTTCCTGCCTGAGCAAAGGGTTGGACTAGAAGACATCCAAGGTCCCTTCCAATTCTGTTATTCTGTTTAATGGCTCAGATAAAAGGGAAGAGGTGGGCAGCTCAGTGGAAATTTATTGTTGAATTGAAGGACCGTATGGCAAGGTTCACAGGCTGGCCCCAATCGTGGTTTGTTCAACCATGGTTTATTTCATGAATCGCAGCTGCATAATTGCATAACTCGATACACTAGCCAGAAAGCAAATGGACTACCTTATCACTCAACAACAGTTCTGAACCAACCAGCATGAAATGACAGCAAAGTTGTTTAAGATTTAGTTAAAATCACATATTAATGGAAAGCATTAAACAAAAGCTAATTTTGACTTGTTAAAATTGCTAATTTCTACTGCATCCCTTTCAACTTGACAATTGGACTCTTTGTGTGTTTTGCACAGACACACACCTTCAAGCTGAGTCTCATGCAATAACAAATCTATAGATTGTGTCTAAAAGTAAAATAAGTTAGCTGCCCATTTTTCAAGTGGGAGACGAGCTAGGAAAATGCTACCAATCTACTTCACAAATTCCATTCTCTTCTGAATCTCATTTTGATTCCTTTCATTGCTGGTTTCTTTTTTTGCAGGGGGGTGGGATTTTTGTGCCCTCTTCTTCCTTAAGGATAAGCTGAAAGTTCTCACCATGAAATCAGTCGCTGATCCAGAATTTGGGTGTCTGAGATAGACAGGGTTAACACTGAAAGTTTGCTGGAGCTTGTATTTATCTTTAACCCTTTTAGAAGACGAAAAAAAGAGAACAAGATAAGCTGATTGGGAAGAACTCCACGGATTGGGAATGTCAGGCGGGTGAGGGATGGAGAATGTTTTTGGCACTCACCAGAACGCTGTGCAATCAAAATGAACCATCATCCATTTGGAAGGATTGAAGGCAAACGAATCGGCATATTCAATTCCCTTGAGAAAAAATCGGTATTCTGGACACAGAAATGCTGTTCCAGCGTAGGCAGCGTCAACATGAAGCCAAAGACCTTCTTTAGCACCTGGAGAGAAATCATCATCATCTTTTAATTAGCCCATAATCCCTTGCGGTGTGGAGACTGGACAACTGAATGGATCTAGCAGAGTGTTTACTGGCCGGATGCCCCTCCTGTCGCCAATGTGGAGGTTTGTTCAGCGGATATTGATCTGACCCAAACCTGGTTCCAAGGTGTTGTGGTTAGCTGGCAGCAGGTGCAGATGGCTGAGGAGAGCGAGGACTCAGATGAGGGGCCAGGACCATGAGGGAGTGGAGTGCTGCCTTCAGAGATTGTGGGGGCTGGCAGCAGCGATGAGGAGGTTCCTGAGGAGCCTGTGCCAAGTACACGTGTGTGCAGGGCTGCTCATAGGAAAGAGCAGTTACAACAGCACAGGCAACTCGGGAGTAAGGCTGCAAGGTAATGGCCCCTCCTTCAAGAAGATAAAAGCCAGCTGTGAAGCGAACGTTCTTTGCAGGAAGCAAAGTCATTTTGAAACTCAGCCTCGTGGACATTACAGTTGGCATTTGAAGACTCTTGTAAACGATTTCTTATCTGTTGTTTTTTGGCAGACTTGAGAAAACTTGGCAAGGTTCTTTCTTGTTGGAGCTAATTAGTTGGAAACAGCCTTTTATCTGTGAAGAAACGGGATTCTTAGCTTACACATAAAAAGGTTATACTGCTGCCTTTGTCTTATGTTTGCTCTCTTGGAATCAGGTTTGGGTCAGAACACAAGGAAACAAACACGAGACAAAGGTAACAGCACAACCTTTTAATGTTTCTTTACAAATCCCGTTCCTTCACAGGTAAAAGGCTGCTTCAAATCAATTAGCTCCGATAAAATTTCGCAAGGCTGCCAAGAACACCAGATAAAGTTACTAAGCAATAATTCCAACACAAAGAGTCTCCAAACACCAACTCAGATATTCCTAACATCCACCAGGCTCGAGTGTAAAACTTCTTTGCCTTCTGCAAAGAACCACGGTTTCTTGAAGAGGGGCAGCCTTACTCCCGAGTCATTCATGCTGCTGCAGCTGCTCTTTCCTTCCAGCAGGCCACGGGCTCCTCGGGGACCTCTTCATTGCTGCCGCCAGCCACCACACTCTCCAAAGGCAGCATTCCACTCCCTGATGGTCCTGGCCCCATCCCTGCCTCGCACACAGGCCCCTCATCTGAGTCCTTGCTCTCTGAGACCTCAGCCATCCCCACCTGCTGCCAGCGAACCACAACAGATATATTCTCATTGTGCCCAGAGAGTAAAATATCTGTCTCTACTTAAGATCGAACTCACAGCCTCCTGATCGTGAGGCGAGAGTTCCACCTCTGAGCCACTGCACCACTCCTAGCACCTGGAGAGAAATCTGTGTCCAAAAATCCCATTTTATTGGATGGCTGATCATATGCAAACCCCCAAAGGACATGATATTTATTTATTTGTTGGTTGGTTAAATATATTTCCTGCCTATCTCACCCTGTGGCTACTCCAGACAGTTTATAATAATAGAAAGCAAGAAAATGAAAGAAGTGTAAACAGAACAGAAATAAAATAATAGAACAGTGAAATTAACAATGAAAATGAACAAGAGAATGCATCCATACGATAACCAAAAAAATAGACAGATGTCAGGATTCCAGCAGTTACCCCATTTAAATTGTGAGTTTCAAGCCAAACTTCCAAAACTTAAAAAGGATTTATTGGGAGTGAACATGTCTGGCACTGCCTGGGTGTAGCCGACTCTGAGACACATCATTCATTGTCACCCTTGACCCTGGTTTTCCCCCACCCCCCTGGGTGTTTCATAATTCATATTCTCCAATGAGACACATCCATAGTCCAGAGTCGTCAATCATGCTCTCCAGTTAGAATTTTGTGCAGCAGAAACTTCAGTCACCTAGTTACTATCTTTGAAAATATTTATGGAATGCACTGTCGATTTCCAAGCTGCTGCACTGCTCCCCCCTCCCTTTCTGTTGGCAACTCTAAAAAGACCATAGAAATATTTTATGAGTTGACAACAGATGGAGACCAGAGTGAAAAGGGAAGCAGGACGCCAGCTCAGGAATTCTGGGAGTTGAAGTCCACAAGTCATAAAGCCGTCATAGTTGCCCATCCTGCTCTACGATATCTAAGCAAGAGGTTCCTTCAGGATTGTCCTGAATGAAGGAGCTGCACTGAGAAATCCCTCTGAAAGATCCCGAAGCATTTCTCTTCTACTTCCCTGATCTGCCCTGGGAGATCAGGGATCTGAGAATACAGGTAGTCCTCGACTTATAACTGCTCACTCAGTGGCCATTCAAAGTTACAACGGCACTGAAAAACGTTCTTCATGGTTACAACCATTGTAGCATCCCTGTGGTCATGTGATTTACATTTGGATGCTTGACAACTGACTCACGTTTATGACGGTTTGCATTGCAACCTTCTGACCAGCAAAGTCAATGGGGAAGCCAGGTTCGCTTAACAACCGGGTTACTAATTTAACAACTGCTAGAGATCCACTGAGCAAATGTGGCGAGAAAAGTTGTAAAATGGGGCAAAAACTCCCTTAACAAAGGTCTCACTTAGCAACATAAATTTTGGGCTCAGTTGTGGTCGTACGTCGAGGACCATCTGTACTAGGAGGAGAAGCAGGCTTAGTTAACAACTAGATTTCCCAGGAAGGACCTTTTAGATAAGTGGGGTGTATAATTACTTACATATTGGACCTAGTTCTGAAAGGCAGTCAAAAGCACACACACCAGTTGTTCCGAGAGTCGCACAAACCTAGACAAAACCAGAAATTTATTAAAATGTTTAAAAAATAAATAAATTAGAAACTTAATTTAAGTTTCTTAAATTAAATTATCTTCTTAACTTAAGGGGAATTGGAAAAATAGTATCTTCCTTCCTTCCTTCCCTTCCTTCCTTTCTTCTCTCCCATCAAACTCCTTCCTTCCT